TCTTTCTGTACCTGGGTGCAATAAGCGTTCGTCAAAGTCTTTAATGAGAAGCTTTGTTGCTGGTTGCCGCAAATCTAGCACGATAGGGTGAATCTGTTCAACATTTGGGCTTTCCAGTCTCCGTAATCGTCCTCCAACTCTGATTACATTAGTTACTGGATCCCACTCTGGCGCAAGACATATTAGTCGGCTGTGGTTTGGTATAGGTTTGTGTGTTTTGAGGGCTGTTGTCTCCTCCGGGAAGCTTTGAGCCTGACGCTTCCCTAGTAGGATCAACTCTGCTTCACGTGGATCAATGAGCTGAGTGTTTGCTGAATCATCTGTCACTTGTTGTCATACCTGCTGCGTTGCTTCCACTAACTCTTTCCATGTGCTAAACTGACTGGCATCAGGAAGGGTATGATCTGGTTCCACACAGGTTAGGCAGCAGATAGTGATACCTTTCAGTTCAGGTAACTCTTCTGACCTTGCCGGTTCAGCTGTCTTTGGCCAGTGCTCAGAACTCAGTTTTAGAAACGATGGTCCCTGACTCCAGCGCCCAGGCACAGTAAAACTTGAGAGAGGTTTACCTCTGGTGATATCATCCGCTGGGTTTTGCTGTGTGTCCACATACCGCCAAGTACTGTGCTCTGTCAACTCCTGGATTTCTGAGACTCGTGTTCCAACAAAGACTTTGAACCTACAAGAGTCGGACTGAAGCCACTCCAGCACAGTTGTAGAATCTGTCCACAAAATTGTCTGCTGAATTGTGAGAGTGATCTCATCTATCAGAAGCTTCGCTAGCTGGGCTCCTGCTAATGCTGTGCAGAGCTCCAAGCGAGGCATGGACTGTTGCCTCCTGGGAGCAACTCGTGATCTAGCCATAACGAAAGTGGTATGAACGGCATCTTGTGTGTACTCTACCAAGTAAGCCACAGCCCCATATGCTCGTTCTGATGCGTCGCAAAACACATGGAGGTCGTATTTCCGTTGTACATCACTGGGAACTGATGAGTAACAGCGAGGAATTGTTATGGTGCTGAGATACTTTAACTCACTTTCCCATCTGTCCCAGGCAGCGTAAAGATCTTGTTGTGCGTACTCTACCAAGTAAGCCACAGCTCCATATGCTTGTTCTGATGCGTCGCAAAACACATGGAGGTCGTATTTCCGTTGTACATCATTGGGAACTGATGAGTAACAGCGAGGAATTGTTATGGTGCTGAGATACTTTAACTCACTTTCCCATCTGTCCCAGGCAGCGTAAAGATCTTGTGGCAGATTCGGGTCATCCCAATCTCTTCTTTTGGACCATAGTTGTTGAATGAGCACTTTTGCCCGTGTGGTGAAAGGCACAATGAACCCCAATGGGTCATACT